CAGCAAAATCCAGCATATAGTAATGATCCAATGCTTCATTTGCTTTATGAGTGGAAAATTGGTGGTGGATGTAGAGAAGATTTGATTGAAGCTCTTAAATGTGCTGATCTTCATCAGCTAGCTGATCAGTAAGTGTTTGTACAGTTTGATTGTTATTATTCTATTAATAGAGTTAAAGTCTCTGACTATAGACCTGCCAGTCGTGTAAGTTTGACTGTATGATTCATTTTAAAAAGATAATAATGTAGTTTGTAAGGCATGGTTTGTTTACCTTGGACTCTCTGAGGCTACTAATAAGAATAATTATATTTTTATTTTATATAGCATTCTATAAAATTGAATCAACAATAATTGAATTTGTACCTTTATTATACACAATAGAGACCTTCTGTTGTTAATGTCCGCCAGCCAACAAATGAACAGTGTTCTGATTTTGAACGTTCTCAAGAAATTGAAGCCAAGATTAAGTTAGCTAGGATAGTGCCCATAGTATTTGTGACCATAATTGACAAAAGGGCCCTTATGGCGGATTTTAAAATTGATCGTTATAATGGAAAATATCAACCTGTGAGTGCTTTGTTAGACAATCATTGTTTCTAAAAGTTTCATGGTAACTTTTTGCATCCTGTGGAGTAATTTTATGATGAATGGGGCTCAGGAAGTTGGATTTCTTAGGCTAGAAACACAAATTTCACTACCCGCCATAAGGTACCTTTTGTCAATTATGGTCACATTTTATTTACTGTACATGTTCTTATTCATTTAGTAGTTTAATCTTTGAAATTGCTGAAGCACAAGTTAAAAATACACGAGATTCTGATCAACTTACTGATTCATATATGTAAGAATAGTCTAATTTTGATTGTTTATGCATCTGACGTTGTTTGTATAGTAACCAAAGACATCAAGAAATTCCTGAAGCTTCTAGGTACAAAATGATGTTGCTAAAATTATTTAAAGTTCTATTATTAGGGATATAGAAGATGATGACTTGTTGCGTTCATCTAATTTTTTTAATGCTAAAAAAATCAAAAAATTTGTCGAGATTTATGATGATGATTCAGGGTATCTTCAGTCAGTAATGAATAAATACCGACATAAACGTAGTGATACACAAACCATTGCAATTCAAGTTCTTCGTGCTATGGTTAGAAAAAATCCTAGGATTACTAAAAAAGATCTGGAAAAGAGACTCCATCTAATGAAATTTGAAGAAGCTGCTATTAAGTAAGAAATTTCTTGTAATAAAGTGACTAGTAGATTGATTTGTAGTCTGTCAGAGCCTTCTCAGCTTGCTCAGGCTACTCATGCAACTTCTGCTCAAGCTACTCCTCAGGCTACTCAGACAGATCAATCTAACACAAAATGCTTTGTATTATGAACAATCTTTATAGTGAAAGCATATTTAGTATAAACCTAACTGATAATTATTATAGATGATAATAAACTTTTTACTATTATCTACTCTAGTTAATGTTTTGTGTACTTTTTTTGAAAAAAACTAGTTTTTTGAAATAGCACAGTCTATCGCTAGCATTTTTGCAATGGTAAGAGTGACATTATAATGCTATGGCCATGTGCATGCAGCAGAAGCAGTGACTCCACTACCTATATTGCCACTTGCACCAGACACTGCTTCTTACTAATTGTCACTACATTATGTTACCTTATTGGCAAGTACAACTAGCAAAATCAGATCCCTTAGTTCAGGTAATAAGATTATGAGAGTTTTGGTGTTTTTACCTTTATTTCAGTGCACCAGTGAAGTGAATGGTCAGTATGTTCAATATGTTGTATAGCTGGCACTGGTGAATTACATTTGGAGCTTTGACTCAAGGATTTGGAAGATGATCACACTTGCATTCCCATTTGATATGTAGTGATATACTTGTTTTTATTATGTAGAAATTTGATCCTGTAGTCTACTACTGTAAAACAGTTACTGAAGTCAACCAAATTTACATGCAGGCCTCTCCACTTTCTAAAAGATATTGACAAAGTAATTTTACTCTCTTTGTAGATCTATATGCAAAAGTTTATTTTAAAGTTTAATTAGCTTAAGCATATTAAAGCCTCACAATAATTATGGTATAACTATGTAAATATCCAGTGATACTAAAAGATCCCATCAAGAATGGCTATTATTATCTTGCATAAATAGTTTGAGCTGATTCTGATAAAAAATTAGATTTGTTACAAAGTTTTAAAGTTGCTCAATAATTGGAAAAAAGTCCCTGACTATACAGGGACTTGGGCCAAAATTTTGTCAAAATTAAAAAGTTATATTTTCCATTTTAATAATTTTTTCTGATGCATAATAATATTTTTTATCTTGTGTAGAAAGTTTGAGCTCATTTTAATCAAAATTAGATTTTTTCCAAATTTTTAAGTTT